CACCTGATCCAAGGATTGTAACTCCAACAACAAACATTTTCAGAGCTTCGGGAGACTCGGGGGAAGCTTGGGCTGAGAAGAGGCATGTGCTGAGCAGCTACTGTATGAGAAGTAACTTATATACACACATAATATTATACATATATAACTTAACCTGAATGTACAAAGTGTAAAAGCTTGTTGCTTGACATGGCGGCAAGGAACCGATTTTTTGTGTGATCAGTCTGAATCCACCGAACTCGCAGACTGAGTCCTCACTGGGAGCATTTCCGAGGTTGCACCGGGTATCTTTTCTTTCCGTTCCATTGCAGTTGCCAGATGTTGCCAGATATTTTTCTGTTAGAGTTGGACTAGTCAATGGATTGGTTTTGTTGGGAAAATCTGCGGGAAACCATCGATTTTCCTATTTTTTCTATGGGGCTTTCCTCTAAATTGTCCCTGAAACCAATCCATTGAATCAGATATATGTTCCAGCCCATTTGTCTTGGTTGGTCGGAAGTGAGGTGTCAAGCCTAGTCTCCGGCGCCGACATGAAGGACACGAAGGTGTTGCAACGCCAAGTGATGGCGCAGATGTTGATGGAGCGGAGCATTTTGGAAGAGGAAACTGATCGTGGCTTGGAGGCAGAAAGCCATGTGTATTCTTTGTGAAGCCATCCAAGAATGGGGCTTTCTAACTTCCAGTTCATTTGTCTAAAGGATCTTAAAGGTGCTCCCCCCAGAGTTTTGAATCCCTTTTGCATGCTTCGAGGCTGGCTTCAGGGTCCCCAGGTTTTTAAGCAACATTAAGGTGATGCCTCCCAAAAATTGCAGGGGATTCGGCACCAATGTGATGTGTGTTTTCCACAGCATGTTGGCTCACGCTTCTTGGTCGCATGAAACCTTGCCTTTCCATTGGGCTGAACTGACTACAATGCAGCTCGCCCCTGTGATTAGCAAGTTGTGTGTCCATTGTCATCTCTCGGATGCTTCCTCTCAGGTTTCATGCTGGGTGCCAAGCAACTGTTTTGCAAATATGCCACTCCGTTGGGGGCCCTGGGGACATGCAAAAAAAGTTGGTTTTGTGTCCATGGAATAGTGAGGAGGGCGTTGCGCGAAAGCAGATTGGGGTTCCTGCCGAAAACCAAAAAGTGCCCCACTGGACACCCCTCAAACGTCGCTGAGGCCAAATGCGAAAACGTCTGGATGGAGGTGTGCACGAAGGTGGCTGCAGCGGCCTTGGTCTCGGTGCCTTGGAGAGTTTCTGTGAGGGTGGGGCTGAAATAAACCAACTCCTATGTGCCAACTGCGGTAAGGAGGAAATCCAGGGAATTGCCTTCTTCCACATCATTACAATTCGAAGACATCAACCTATCATGGCAGTGCAGTCAGAATCTCAGGTGGTGGCTGTGGACAACCTGTGGCTCTGCGTGGCCATCACCTTGGGCATGGCGCTGGTCATTGGCCTTGCGCAGCCCTTTGCTCAGCCACAGATGAACGTCCTGCAGAGCACCTGCTTCGGCTGTACCTGGCCGTGCATGGGGGTCTTTCTCTGGGAGATTGCGTTCTGGACGGACCCTGACCTTTGTTGAACATCAACTATGATAGCAACAGCGGCGCATCTTTGATCGGCCAGATTCGGTTTGTCAAGTGTCACAAGGTCTACTCGCTATTTTAGCCAACCACATTATAGAGCCGTGCCATTGAACTTTCTAATTATTCCCAGAAGGCTTGGCTGTGGGATGATACCGATGATCCTTAGGCAATCCCAGCATGAAAGCAGGCAATCCCAGTGGCTTGGTGATACCCAGACCAGGCTTGACCTGCCCCCAGCTGTGACCACTTCAAGGATTATCTCATCATTCCCGGTGATTCAGAATTGATACTGATAGGTTCCGATAAGTCACCAACCTATCCCATGATGAGTACAATGTCTATTTCCCCAGGAATTCAGAAAAACATCCGGATCTCCAAAAGAGATAGAAAAACAGTGAAAAGTTTAAAAGCGAGCCCACCGTTTGACCTTGAGTCACCCGTACATCTGACCTTGAGATCTATTCCTATCCGGCATCTTGCGAGGCCTAGCCCTGGCAGCCGTCGGCTTCCGGCACCACATGGCCCTGGCGCGGCTGGCGCTGGCGGTGCCCTTTGTGCTGCTGCTGCTGCAGATGCGGCGGCCGGATTCACCTGAGATGCTGGCGTTGAGGCTGCAGCAGGAGATGAACAAAGTCTTCACAGCAACGCTGCCAAGACAGTGAGGTTAACCCACCCAAATCACTGAAGTTGCTGAATTAAATATACATCATCCAGATCGGATATTTGGCGAATAAATCAGTGAGTCGTACATCACAACAGCTTTTCCCATGATTTTTTTTTTACCCTCGATGTTTCCCTGCCAAGAATGATTAGATTGGTGGCTTCCGACAGACTCTAAAAGTGACTGTTACAAAGGGTAGCCACCTAAAAAATACAGAAAACCAGCCAACTAATAGAGATGTTTTCGATTGGCATTTGCATGCATTTGCTCTTTCGTGCCTTCAGAACTTCAGCCCAATTGCTCAAAACTGTTCAGAATCTATGCCTCGTTGTCAGAGTCAAAAGTCATTCGTGTTGTAGCCCACACATCTTGGGTGTTTGTTGTTTGTACGACACACCTATGCAAGAGAAAGCGTTCGATCTTTCATGATCTATGGTAGAGATTGTCCTCAAGAGCGGCATTGCCAGCAAGCTGACTCAGACCATCAGCCGGGCACAACAAATATCTCCGCAGCAAATATCACTAATTATTATCCTTGCAATGATATGAGCTAATTAGCCTAGTTATGCCTAGTTGCCGGGGAACACTACAATGCTATAGTCATCAGAAATCCGGCATTAGTGGCGCTGAAAATGTGGGAAGCAATCGTTGATTGGAGGAGTTGGAGGCCAAGATCTACGAGGGGCCCGTGGAAGTCAGCGCTGAGCAGTTTACCTATGGATCTGCTGCGGACCTCTGAGGCGTGGCAGGGGAGATTTCGATCCAGAATCTGGGATGTACTATGCAATTTTGGTGTACAGGGACTTATGCACACACTTGATCACACTTGTGTCACACTTGTGTCACATGCTCAGCAACTGCTAATGCCCAAACGGATTGAAGAACGAAATCCATGCATGTCAGATCCATATGTGTGTAGGAAATTGTGGACCCGAAGGCCCGAACCCCACAGATGTCTAAAACCGGAGTTATTATGCGTGTTCATTATATGATAGCATGGTACCCCGCATTGAGCCAAACAAACAGGCCAAACAAGAGTTTGACATTGCCGGCAAAGTCAGATCATATCACAGTTTTCTTTCGCATCCCAACCGAGCGTTTTTGCAGCGCTCGAGGTGCAATTCAATATGATGTTTGAACGCTGACCTTGCTCGATGTGTCGAAGCAGGAGAGAGGGGGATATGATATGCCCAAAACTGGGAGCAAACATGGATATAACTATAGATATAATTAGTATATTATACAATGTAGTTATATATATATATATATAGCATTGGCAAACTTCATGTCAGGTGTGGCTAATGTCAGTCTCAGTAGTCTGATATGTGGGAAAAATAGCCATGTATATTATATGCAGCCACCCAACTTTCAGTTTCCAAATGGTCAACAGTGGGCTGCCAGGGTCTGGATTCTTCCCAGCAAAATATGCCTGAGGTCTTGCACTGCCAAGTACTTTTTCATGACTTACCCTCTGGTAAATTAACATAGACCCTGGCAGTCATCGGGGTTGGAAGATTAGTTTCCATTAAAACTAGGCTATTTTCAGGGTCAACATGTTAATTTACCACAGGGTAAGACTTGGCAGATCAATCCCAAAGTTGGATTTTTGTTTCCACGAAGTAACGAAGGTACCATCGGACCACCGCCAGTTAACACAGAGCGATTCCACCTTGTCGCCCGGATTTCTCCATGTTTGGCATGTAGTTGGCCTACGGCTGATAGACGGCGGTGTGTTGTCACTTTTTGCACTTGGGGTGGGGTGGGATGTCAACGTTCATGTATATGGGCACATGTAATTGACGTTACGCTAGATTTTCTTTGAACAGCAATTTGAAAATCAGCCTGATGAGGGTTGGTTTTTTCAAGCAATATGTGGCTAATTTTACTTCCGTTAAACTTTCTGAGTCAACTTTACTGGCGTTCCGCTATGATTCCGCTCGTGCACCCAAGTTTTAGATCGAGGCTGGCAAAGTTTGAAGACTTTTTTGCCTGCGCGCATGTGCATGAAGTGCAAGGTGAAAGGTCACAATAAGATGCACCCACATGTTTCTCAGTGCATCTACATGTGGGCTCGGAGACAAAATCTTGAAACAACCAGGCCAAAGATTTTCTTGAGAACCTCGAAGAATTGTTGTGACGGAAAGATTCGAAGGAAAATGGTGCTTGGCGAAAATAGTTGCGTCAATGCCAAGCACCTTCAAACTCCGCTCCTCGCTGAGGTAAAAGTACCAGTTTAAAAGTTCTGCATGGCACAGCCGCATTGATAACCACAACAACATTGGAACGGCGCACTTGAAAGAGTCACGTAAGGAATTGAAACTTACGAAACCACACGGCCGCCTATCAGCCGTAGTCCTAGTCAATGACCCAGCTTTATGGTGCTACGGTGCTACGTGATAGTGTAATATCAATCCTTCGGAAACGCTCGACCTGGGGTTCCGAATGGTTCCTTCAGTAACGCTGCCAGGCGTTGATGCTGTGGCACCAGTCCTCTGTGCGACATGCCAGAATCCAACAAAAATGTGGCATCGTTTCACGGTGAGACCTGTGGCACATGTGGCATCATGGCACAGTCGGATACCCCATCCAAGAGGTTTAGAAACACGGCCGGTATAGCTCTAAATTTGGATGTAAAATGATCCCTAAATGATAGGCAATTGGTGATGGTTGATGGTGGGTTTGAAACCCTTGTGGGATGAAGATGTGTCAGTCTTGGCGAGTTCAATGTGGCCTCAAAGTATTGTGGGCAGCCAAAGATTGGCTCAAAAAATGTTAAGGCTTTGCTAAATGGCATGGGCGTGAGCCCAATTCGTTCCATATTTACACAGCTATGGCTTCTCTGTGCTGCTGTCCGGCCATCCATCGATGAGGAAGCCTGGGCAGCACTTGTTAGGAGTTACCCCAAGACTAGGAAAACTAAAGAAAGCTTGAACCCATCAACGAGTCCTCAGTCCAGCAATTCTTCTGCAGCACGCAAGGGGAAAGGAAACGTATGATTGTCCCAGCTTGGAATTTTGAGAGGTTAGCGCATGGCCAAGCACCTGTCTGTCCACACTAACTCGAGGACTTTGGGCACAGATCGCTGCTGCTGGAGAGCAAGGAGGCCAGGGACAGGTTGTACTGTAGCTGTCTCTCAGAGCCTGGCAGGTTGATGGAATTTTGCATCAAGAGGTTTGTTTCCCAAGATCAAATGAACTTCGAGAAAGCGGAGTCCACATTTTACATATGAAGATTTCTGAATGCTTGAAGACTTCGGAGAACCAAAGAAGTCAAAGACATGGGGTTTTCGAATGTTTTCGATGCCCAGTTCACCGGGTTGTGGCTGTTGTTCCGAGGCATTTGAGTGCCTTGAAGAAGTGCAGGAGAAGCTGCGAGGGCAGCTGCGTGGCCTAGGTCTTTCCGGAGAGGGAGATCCATGTCGTTGGGAGGGCATTGAATGCCGTGACTGTGCGGTGCAGAAAATTCGGAGCTATGAGGCGACAGGAGACCTAAGTTCTGTAGTGAGTTCTTTGAAGGAGATGACAGAGCTGACTGTTCTGAACCTTCGAGGGAGCCCAGTCACTGGCAATATCTCTGAGTTGTCAAAGCTGGAAAGACTCCAAGTCCTTGACCTGGCGCAGACACGGGTGGTGGGCGATGTTGCGGAGCTATCAAATCTTAGAGGGCTCCAATGCCTTTATCTCAAGCAAACACAGGTCTTGGGTGATGTTGGGGAGCTCTCAAAGCTTGACGGCCTACAGAGCCTTTACCTGACGCAAACACAGGTGTTGGGCAATGTCGCGAATTTGTCAAAGCTCAAAGGGCTCCAGCGCCTTGACCTGAGTCAGACACGGATCACAGGCGATGTCGCGGATTTGTCAACACTAAGCCAGCTCCAGCGCCTTTACCTGACGGAGGTACAGATTGTGGGCGATGTTGGGGAGCTGTCAAAGCTAAACCAACTCGAGCACCTTTACCTCACGCAGACACAGGTGGTCGGAAATATCGGCGTCATCAGCAGCATGCCCGAGCTGGTGAGGGCCGACTTGTCTGGCACCGCTGTGTCCGGAAAGCTGGACGAGTTGAGGCCAGGCTGCTGTGGAAAGCTCCGGAGACTGCACCTTGGAGTAGTAGCCTTAGTTGTTTGCAGCAGTGTCTTTGTATCATTTTGTGGAGAAGTGTGGCTCTACAGCTTGATTTCTTTTTTATCTGAGGATACGCAAGTCCGGATTTCGCCTGGTGCTGCTGCTCGCTCCCTTTCCAGAAAGACCGTGTTCCTCCCAGCTTTGGAATCGCTCAATGCCAACGCCTTAGATGTTTCGTGGATTTTCAGGGTCTAACCGCGCCGGCCTCAAGGCACTTACTTCGTTGACTTTCCCGATTTCCAAATGTTCCGAAGGGGCCACAGCTGCCACGGAAAATGGACATAACTGACACAACTCAAAAAAAGAGCACAGTGCGCCGGTAAAAGCCGACCTTCGGAAGAGATCCCTCCTGGGACACCATTTCGTGCGAGACTTCCTTCGAAAACGGAAGATAGAGGAACTTTTGTGCTGTAAAAGTCATCAAATTTGCCAGACCTGCTGGAGACCGCCTGGAATGAACACCAGGCCTTAACCCTCCCCGGAAGAACCCCAAGTGTGGATACACTGTTTGGGGAAGAAATCATGGTTTGGGAAATGCCAAAAGGAAGATTTAGAAATTCAGAAATGGCTCCCGGCCTGGGAAACGCAGAAAAAAAAGACGGAAAAACAACAAAGAGGGGCCACCCGCAACTGGCAGAGTGTGGCTAGACACCAGATGGAACCAAATCTGTCGGCATGATGTCATCCGCACTGGGTTTGCAAAGGATTGCACAGAAGGCTTGCAAAAAAGTTCATTCGGTTTTCTTAAATTTATTGCAGAGTGTACATTCTTCTTTTCGAAGGATTGGCCAAAAATTAGAGTTTGCAATACAGAGCAAGGCTGAAACAAGGCTGACATGGGCACGCACGTCGAAACCAACAGATTTGGGAAGAGGCTGCTGAGAAAAGAACCATAGACAATTAGCGTAGTGTTCAGTTGCATGCTGGCAGAGGATCGTGCCACACATGTATATTTTGGGGGCTATCACGGTCAGAAATTCAAATTGGGAGTTGATCCTTTCTGCACAGCGACTCGAATATGGTTTGTTGAGACATGTTGAGGGTGAGACTCATGGACTGGCACCGAGCAACTAGTGTCACTAGAGGCAATTTGTCAAAGCTGCGGCCATTGATCTGGCGGCCTATGGATTCTTACGGTAGAGAGTTTGGTTTGAGTGGCCGGGCATCCCATTCAAACATGAAACAATTTCTGTGCTAACGGAGTCTCGGTTCCATGCAAGACGGCTAGGTGAGTGGTTGCAAACTCAACGTGAGCGTGGGCGATCTATTGGTTCCTTTGGCCGCGACACCCATCACCAATATCCTTGCAGCAGGATGTGGCCTCAGCGGCAACGTCCCTAACCTTGAGGCACTCAACGCTAGAGTGGATGGAGAGTTCTTTCACAACTGGCCAAGCACCTTGGGCAACTCTTTGGAGGTGTTGGACATGTCGGCCAATTGCCTAGATGTGGTGAATGCCTCGTCCGTAAGCTTGAGATTGGACGTGAGCCGTAATGAAGTGCCCTTGAGCCTCAGCCCCCATATCATCAAAGCTGCGGCAAAGTCCGAGACGGACCTCTGGATGACGGACACCGAACTGGCAAACTCAGGGGAGATCATGGCGGATTGCTCCAATGAATTGCAAATGGTAGAGATGTGGACTGCAAGGGAGATCGGTGGATACTCGTGCCATGACCTCGTGCGACCCAACATTCGTGTCACGCCAGAGCGCTTCTTGCCTCAGCTAATGTGTGCCTGTGGCCCAGGCCACTTTGGTGCCGGTACCAACTGCTCAGCATGTCCGGAAAACACTTTCAACGACCAGATGGATCAAAGGAAGTGTCAAGCCTGCCCTCAAGGCGGAGAGGCTCCAGCTGGATCTCAGGCCGTTTCGGCCTGTGAGTGCCCCTTTGGCGCCCCTCGTATTTTCGAGAACGAGACCATGTGCCTATGCGACCGCAGTGAAGCGCTCACTGACGCGCAAAAATGCGTCTCTTGCAGCGAGAATCATGTGGTTTGCAGTCCTGGTGCAGATCGTCTGGCTACAGCGCCTTTGAAAGACGGGTACATTCGCTTGAAGGAGCCATCGGAAGAGATTTTCAAATGCCTTGATCCTAAACATTGCAGAAACTCCAGGTGTGTGCCAGGACTGGGAAGGGTTTGGATGGGATGTCTCCAGAGTGACTTCTGCCCGAACCGGTGTAGCTTTGCATGATATTGTACCAGTAGTACCGCACAAGGCGGTGGCGGAAGTTTCAAAAATGGAAAACCTATAGGAGAGGTGAGTTGGTGTGACGCAAAAATGGCAGAGCGAACCCACTGATGGATTGAAAGGTGGTTGGGTGTTTCTCCCTTTCTGTCTCTCTTTCTCTCTTTCTCTCTGTGTCTCTCTTTCGCCATCTATCTACAGAGCTACCTTTCTAGCCATCTACCTATCTACCTGTCTATTCATGTATCTATCGATCGATTTGTTTATTCACCTATCTATTAAACTGTCTATCTTTCTGTCTATCCAGCCATTCATCCATCCACTTACTTCTCTCTGTTAGTTTTTTTTCCCGTCCATCTCTTCATCGATCCATGTCCACAGCTATCCATCACCATGTTCTTCGTTCTGTTCCTCTATCGATTCATCCATGCACAATCCACTCCGCCTACCACACAAAACGACGTCTGAACGTCCAAAATGTCTCCGAGACCCTCAGTTTTTAACACTTTTGATTTCGAAATGTGCTTCGCGCCACAACGCTGTGCACTTTTTCGACATCTCAACTTCCAAAAGTGTTTCCAGACCGCCAGTTTTTAACACTTTTTACTTCCAAATGTGCTTCGCGCCACAACGCCGTGCACTTTTTCGACATCTCAACGTCCAAAACTGCTCCGAGACCGACAGTTTTCAACACTTTTTACTTCCCTATGTGTCTCTCTATGCATCTTTTCATCCGTCAAGTTCTCTCTCCACCTGTCCTTCGATCTACCTCTTGACCTGTCGATCAATCTGTCTAGCCGCCACGTCGACAACAAAACAATGCTGCTAGACTTCTATTGGCAACATCAAAAACGAAGCAATTCTGCGAGACTTTCTCACTTTTTGCAGTTGAAAACATCAAAAACGAAGCAATTCTGCGAGACTTCCTTCAAAAATGGAAAGTTGACTGTGCAGCTGACGGCCTCGTACCAATGCGTTTTGTGATTTTTCCATGCCATGTCTCTAAAGTACTGCGCCTGCCACGAAAAAGTTAGTCCAGGTCATACGAAATGCTGCACCTGTCACGAAAAAGCATCTTGGCATAGCTGATGATTTGATACGCCAAAATGCAGCCCCTCTCAGGAAATCAGCTCCTTGAGCTCCGAACATCTCTGCTGAAGATGCCTCTTGTACTGCGCCTGCCACGAAAAATGCATCTGTGCAGATCTTCTTCAAATCTCCCACGCCTGCCATCGCTTTTGAAAATGCTACAACACCCTCACGTTTTAGTCACTTTTCAGTGGATGCACAATCCATTCCACCTACCACACAAAACGACGTCTGAACGTCCAAAATGTCTCCGAGACCCTCAGTTTTTAACACTTTTGACTTCGAAATGTGCTTCGCGCCACAACGCCGTGCACTTTTTCGACATCTCAACTTCCAAAAGTGTTTCGAGACCGCCAGTTTTTAACACTTTTGACTTCGAAATGTGCTTCGCGCCACAACGCCGTGCACTTTTTCGACATCTCAACTTCCAAAAGTGCTCCGAGACCGCCAGTTTTTAACACTTTTTACTTCCAAATGTGCTTCGCGCCACAACGCCGTACAAAGCGGTCCGACGCTGAGGTGTTTTGTACCTTTTCACTTCGAAATCGGCTTCGCGCCACAACGGCGTGCAACTTTTCATCTCTCATCTCCCCAGATGTCTCCGCACCCGCCGCTTTAGCGAGCCTACTTTTCAACCCTCCGGAGCCACAAAAAAGCACCAAAAAACAGTGTTTCGCGACTTTTCCTACCTTTTCGCACACCTGCATCTTCTTTCTTCTGATCTTTTCTCTTCTGACTCTTCTCCCTGCTCTGCTTTTCATCTGTCCATATTGTCGGAAGTTTGACTTCTAAACTTCCTTCGACAATCCTTTCGCATCCTGTTGCCAAGTTGGGTTGAACACATGGTTTGATTGAACCATGTTTGATTGTTTGTGCTCTCATCCACGGAAGTTGCCAGGGCGCACTGGCCCGCCTTCGCTTTGCACAGCTTGCTCCCCACAGTACCGAGAAAGCAACAAGATCTGCGTTGAATGCAAGAGCGTTTCATCGCAGCAGAGGCTTTTCTGCACATCCAAGATAGCATGAGTATCAAGTTACGGTGGTTCTTTGGACGTAAAGACCATCCAAAGTATTCGATACTCAATGGCATCAGATATTGGGAACCTGACAACTTGCCACACTTTTCTGTAGCGTGCCAACTTGTATTTTGTACTAAGGAGATTTTCAGTCGGTTTGGGCTGCACTGCGACCCTGGTGATAATGGCTGCCATAGCATGGACCCTGAGGCATGACCGAATTAATATGAGGGCAGCAGCTCTTCAAGTGATGAAAGGAAACGGTGGTTGCCATGAGCATGAAATTGCACAGCAGGTTCGCTACTACTGTAAATGGAATTCTGTTCGATGCCCATCAGGGTGTTGCACTTTCTAGCTACATCATGCTACATCTATACAGCGCTTCTTGTTCTGTTTTCTCGGGGTCCATGTTTGCAGGCGCCACGCACCACAGCGGAGCCCTCGCAGCGAGTGCCTGCTGCAGCTGATCACGGCGCAGCTGATGGCTTTGCTGCAGCTGGCGCAGCTCTGGACGGTTCTCGGCGGCTTGACGCCTGTGGACCCAGCGGCAACGGTCGCAGACGCGGCAAACGTCACAGACGCGGCAAACGTCACAGACGCGGATGACGGCGCCCAAGGAAACTTGGCCGCCCATGGTGGCATGGTGTCCACCCATGTTTTTAGATTCATTCTTTAAATCAATGAAGGAGAGGAAAAGCAGAACTATGCCAGTCTTTGAACGTAGTACACATAGAAATATGGGCATGGCTCAAAACTAAAACACCGTCACTCCAATATTGCCATGGATAAAAATTTCAATTATTGGCAACTGGCCCCAAAACTGGACGGTTCAGAGCACTTTAACATCAAAATGATGAAATTTGTGGCTCTATTGACAATCATATGGTGCGAATGGTCCTAGATCATGTTTTTGGTACTGAAGGTTCACCCATTCGAAACTCGGAATGGGGGAACTTAGCTGGGACATTTATTCGGTCCAGCAGGCAGCAAGCGATCGAAAACAAAATCCCAGAGGTTCAGGGGTTCAGGAAATTTCATGTTTGACACCTCCCAAAATCGAACTCCCTGGTTCTATCACCTTGCTGCATGCCAGATCTGTTCATCTCCTCAGCGCAGAGTGCGCACGGCAGAGGTGATGCACTGCTTGGATACTTGGAAGCCTTACAATTCACCACCTCCGAAGTGCAAAACTTCCTGGCTCTGCAGTGTCTTTATGATGCTTGGCTCAGTTGAGGATCCTTTCAGACTCCATAGGCATTGGGCTAGGGGATGACAGCACAGATCTGACTCTAAAGAGAACATTTTTGGAGGACGGCGCCACCGTTCGTTCGATGTTTGCCATTGCCACGCCCCTGGTTCCTTTGCTGCTGCTGATTGCTTGTGGCTGCTTGGAGCTTTTTTCGCGCGGATTGGGTGACTTCGTTGCAGTTGACTGATGGTGTGCCTTGCGATGAGGCAAAGGTAGATTGGCCCTCTATCGATCCAATGTAACTGGCAGTCCTTGAGCACAAATCATGTCCTTCTCACACTGTGACATTAGAGGAGTTCAAACAGTGACGCCTTTGCAACTTCCCAATTTCCGGATTAAGATATAATGAGCGAATTTTTCGCATATACAATTGAGTGAAATTCAGATTTCCAAAAGATGGATTTGTCATGATAATCAAGGTGCTTGTGCTCCGGAGTTTTTCTGCTTCAGGCATCCGCGTTGGGCTGAAGATGCTCACGGTGCTTTTCATTGGTGGTGCCTCTGGCAGCGCGCAGCTTTTGGGCTGCCAGCGAACAGATGGTGCAGGCGGCCGTTTCGTTGCGCCCAACAATCGATTTTGAGGTTTAAATGTGCGAGCCTTGCAGGGTTTCATGCAACATCATGCGGTTAACTTCGCTACAGTTTTTGGTGCATCTGCTCGGCTTGCATTTTCTCAGGCACACCATTGAAGGAGTTTGCCTTCCGCCCACTTTTTCCACACGAACGGTGCGACGAAGCTCTGTGGGTTTGGAGCCCAGCTTTTTGAACCAATCATCCAAACAAACAGCGCGATTCTTGCGAAAGAGATCATTGAGGCGCCAGTGGGGCCCCCAAAATCTGAGACACCGTGGGCCCTCATGCTCAATCTGAGGTGGATAGGATCGGCTGGGCCACCGCTATTTGCTACGGCCTCGTCATCCCCTGCTTCCTGGGATTTCTGTTTGCCAAGCAAAATGTCGTCATGCGAAAGGTTAAGACAGTGCTTATGCACACTACATGCGACGATGGAAAGGTTAGGGTGTGGCTGCAAGGCCTTGAAAGCAAGCAATCCTTCAAGGACCGGGTTTGTGCAAAAGTTGCAGATGTTTGTCCTTTTCCTCCTCCACAGAAAGGATTGATTGCTAGGCAAGCCACAGGCGACAAGATGCCACGAGTACATCAGTATGACATACAACACAGCAAGAAAACATGGCAACCCCATCGTGAAACAAGTGCCAGTCAAACGCAATTTGTCCAGGAATGATGTAATGCATCCACTTCTCATGCGACCAACTGTGCAGTCCAGGATGCCATGCTATCCAAGCGCTTGGCGGCTTCGGCTGCTGCCTGCCTTGCCATAGATGTGAAAGGCAGCGCGGTGGTCGAATTGCAGAAAGATGCTGTGATGCTTGGCCAAAACGGCAAGTTTGGTTTACGTTTGAAACAGGTTTGTTGATGCCAATGCTTGAAAACTTTGTCACCACATGTCACCACAATGTGGTGGAAAATCTACGTTGATGCGATTTCTCCCACTTTCGAGCTACCAACACCTTTGCCTTTAAGACTTCGAGCAGAATGTGTCTTCTTCACTCGTCGTTCTACGAGGGAACAACCATGGCATGCCATGCAAATTTCCACGCAGCCTATGCCCCACCTGATAGGATTGTAACTCCAACAGCAAACATTTCCAGAGCTTCGGAAGACTTGGGCGAAGCTCGGGCTGAAAGAGAAGAGGCATGTGCCAAGCAGCCATGGAAAGGACATGAATTAACATGAATTGACAAACTTTGACAATTTTTCCTTGCTTGATATGGCACTGGCTAGGAACGTGGTGTGCCCAGTCTCCATGAGCATTTGTCTTCATTGCCCGGAATATCCTTTCAGAAGCTACAGTTTGGTTTTGCCCTTCTCTTCGTGGGTTGAAAGTTGATATAGGAACCCCATGGAACCCCTATCTTGGAGGGCTGGGTTTCCACGTGAAGTGATCAGATTGATGATGGTCAAGGGGCCTTTAAGACAACTGGGAGATATCAAGGGATGGATTAGGAAATTCCTCATCAAGAAGCAGTAGTCCCAGTAGTCCTGCTTTGGTCTTATCCATTCCGTCACGTTGTATCTTGTGTATCAGTGTGTCCTATTTTCTTGTTATGGATACAGTTGAGCCAGACCGGGTTCCCATCAATTTTTGCCAGCCTCAAGTGAGGTTGAGAGCTTTGTCTTCGGCTCAGACGTGAAGGAGGCGGAGGTGTTGCAACGCCACATGATGGCGCAGATGCTCATAGAGCGTAGCATTTTGGAGGAGGAAACTGATCGTGGCTCGGAGGCCAAAAGCCATGTGTATTTAAGTGCCTTCGGCAAGCCCGCCGGCCATAGAGAGGTGGCCCCAAGGGAGTTTGATGTGCACTCTAGGTGGAAGCCCGCGAGAGAAGCAGAAGAGAAAAGTAGAAGAAGAAGAATAAGAAGAATAAGAAAGGAAGACGAAGACAAAGCCGTAAAACGGAAGCGGCTTGTGTAGCAAGAGCTGGCTGTAACAACCGATTTATCATATACCAAATTAGTACCGCCCCCAGCAAAGTAGCGCCAGGTACTATGTATGAGCCTCTGGCTTGACAGCAGACTGCTGCATGGAAGGAGACAGGGTGGAAGCGGAGAGAGATTGCCCCAAGCGAAGTTGATGTGCATGCTAGGTGGAAGCATGAGAGAGAAGCAGAAGAGAAGAGAATAAGAAGAAGAGGAAGAAGAGGAAGAAGAGGAAGAAGAGGAAGAAGAGGAAGAAGAGGGAGAAGAGGAAGAAGAGGAAGAAGAGGAAGAAGAGGAAGAAGAGGAAGAAGAGGAAGAAGAGGAAGAAGAGGAAGAAGAGGAAGAAGAGGAAGAAGAGGGAAGAAGATGAAGAAGA